ACTTACGTGTGGTCTCTGACTAGCAATTACTAAACTATAGAAAACAATTTTGATGGACAGAGATTGGAAGTGACAACAGAGAGAAGAAATTTCAATCTAGAGAGCTCTTAGATGTAAACGTATGCATTCTTATTGGAGAAAGGATGACAACAGAAGTAGCAAATAGATCCCAATTTTTTTTTTTTTTTAACTTTCTTTACTACTTTAGGCAAGTTGCTGAAACTTATTGCACCTTATTCTTTTCATCTCTAAAGTGAGTTGAAGAGTTTCGTTTCTTCGCTCATGTTTAAAACCTTCTAATGTCCCTTACAAAAGCTGTTTTAGAAGTACACAGTAACATCTATATCTATTGCTTTTAATATATATTCTTTCAGCTGAGCTCATAAAGTACTGGAAGCACCTTTGTCTTTAAGAACATTGCTAATGCATTTGGGAAAGTTTAAGATAAATCAAACTGTGTGGTAGCAACCTCTAAAAGAGATAGAAAAGACTGGGTACAGAGGATATGGTACAAAAAGATGGATATGCTACAGACAACCTTTTTTCATCTCCAGAAAAACACTATTATGACTGGAAGGATCTAGCAATACTTAAGTGCTGGAAAGACTTCAAATCACCTTCAGTATTTTAATGCAAGAGGCAAAGGAAACATAATTAGCTACTCTTAAATTCACTTCCTGAATGACAAAAATGCTTTTTGACTCAGAACACTGACATATTTGTATTATTATTTCACATACTTTCATGAACTTTATAGTGAATTTTGTCAGTTGGTTAACAGGGGTTCACAAGTTATACATTTAGAAGTTAGAAGTATTATTATTACAAGTATCTACACAACATTAATTCAGCCTTTTCATGTGATGAATACATGATGTTTGACATTATATGATCACGTACAGTTTAGTCCCTGCATGACCTGTCTATATCAAGTACACAGAATGGGCAATGTTCTCTAAATGAAAATGAATGTCTGTATAATGAATGAAGCTTCTTAAGACTCCTGCTTAATCTACTGCTGAAGTTTTAAGGTGTGTGATGAATGAGACAAAGATAAACCTCCGGTTAAAGCAGATGAAGCAGTTAAATCCCACCCCAGAGAATTAGATTCTACCCCTGTCTCTGAGGTCCTGTTTAATTCTGGGCAACTCACTTTAAACAAAATGTTTACAGTTGGTCATTAGCTTTTCAATTGTTGGCTCAAGTCCCTGTGGTCCATAGCTAAGTTTAGGTGAACTCCTTCAGAAGTAGTATCCTTAGTACCCTGCCTACATCAGGTCAGATTTCAAACTCTTCCTCTAAAGTACCAGGAAATTACAGTTTGCCAGGGAAAACATTAGACCCTTTTTTTTGTAATAAATGCACAGCTATTCTTTCCTAATTAGATTCTTGAAAACGGTTGAAGTTTTCCTGAAATGTCAGAATCTGACAACTAACTAGCATAAAAAAAAAATATTTTAAAAGGGAAAAAAAAATTATAAAAAGGGAAAAGAAAAGTCTCTAATAGGAAGTAGGAGCCTACCTTTAATGTATGTCATGCTATAACCCATGCTACCTATTGTAGAGTAATACTCAGCATAGAAAAATATTCAGTATGCATATGGATGCTACAGCCATACTTCTGAATAAAATTAATAACCAGGTTAGGAATTACAATAGTATAGATCTAAAATGTTGATGGCTATTTAGTACTGAATTAAATTATTTTCCCCTTTAGTAGTTGTGAATTACAGAATATAGGTTTTATATTCAGGACTGGGCATAATTTCTGTTGGAGATTCCTTCTACTGGTAAATTGTTTTTTTCATTTACAGTTCAATTATACTATTCTCTAGAAGTGTTTTTTCTACCTTGTCACCCATCAATATATGGAGGATTTCAGTTTATGTTGCTATAGCCCCTTGTAGGCTACTGATGCCTTATGTCCCACCTCTGCTCTGTTGGTTGCACAGATCCTGCACCTCCAGGTTTGCAAAATGGGCAGAAGATTCAAGTGAACCATAAATTCCTTCCATGAGAAGGAAGACCAAGACAGCAGAGAAATAACACACTCTGGAGACACCAAAATTTAGATGACTTATAGTTCCACTCCTCTAAAGATGCAGTTCCTACTCAGACTTTATCTCAAGCTTGCAACATCTCAGTGCTCCAATCTGGAAAATAAAAAAAATAAAAAAAAAAAGTGAAGAAAAATATTTCTGTAACTAAATTTTTTCACACTAATTAATCTCAGATCAATGAGTATTACTAATTCTTTATGGTGGTTATAACTGGTTTTGAAGGAAAACTACAGTGAGAAATTATTTGCTGTAAAGGACAGATATTCCTGTTGATGAGGCTGAAATTGCTAGAGACACTACTCTCTTCACTAACAAATATCATTAACCTAAATAGCAAGGAAAAGTTTAAGCTTTGCTTATATTCTCTGATACCTTACATACAATCTCCAAAATGTAAGATAATTACACACTTTGAGAAGCCATAACACAGTCCTCTGACACAGTTTGAATCTGTTCACTGTCTTTTGAGGTGTTCATTGAAGTAGAAATAACGGTATGTTGTAATTTCCTGCAATATCTATGATATGTGCTGATGTCACACTCACTGAGGCAATATAAAAAACCAAAAGTCACTGTGCAGGTGGATGGTATAGTATTTTAACAAGGTGCCTATCTTCTTATGATTATCTCCAAATACACACATAGTGGGCAAATCTGAAAGCAAGAACTCGATGAAAATTTAACACACTATTTTGTATATGACTGAAAGTGTGATTCTGAAAGATGCAAAATTTCAGAATAAAGCTTGGAGCTTGTTCAGTCTGAAGTCAAATGATGATGTATATTCAAATATCACCAGTTAGCTATTTTTGCTGCTGATCCTTTGAGCAGAAATGTCTTACTCCACAATGTTTATCCTGTAATCCCATACTGTCAACCCAAGAATCAGAATTCCCAACAGCCAACTTGCCTCCAGCTATTTTACCTCCTCAGCAGCTTTCAAGAGGCTGTAATATACTGTCAATACAAAAGCCACTGGCTTATTGACAGGTGGAAGAGAAAAAAAAAAAAAAAAAAAAAAAAACGAGAGGTTTAAAAAACCCTGAATTAAATATCAAGCAAGATAACAAAGTAATGACTCCACTAGGCATTATTAGTTTTCATGCAAAATTACTTAAAATCTTTACAACTAAAGTAACTGGAAGCTATTAATGATTGTGTTACACTTAACGGGTTCTTTGTTTGAAGTGATAAATCAGACCTTAAATAAAATTTTTTAGTGTGTGATATAGGTTATGCTCACTGCAATCTACTGGTTTAGTGCATAAAGGAATATCTCCTTCAAATGCCTAGTCTCGGTTCAAAAAAATCCCCCTCTTCCAAAATAGTAAGGAAAGATGGTTTTAAATTTAGTTGAATGGCTGTTTACCTACTATAAGCCTTTTCTTTCACAAATCTGTAAATACAGGCTTTGATTCACTTCTGTGAAACCGCATAGTAAAGATTAGCCTTGTAATGAGCATGACATTTTTATTCTATCAGGCGAACATTCCTTTTGAGAGCTAAAGTTGCAGCACTTTATTTTTAATCTGCATCAAATTAGTTTGGACCCTCCCTCGTTCATGTGAGGAGGCAGGGATGTGAACTTGCCAAGGCTTTAACCACTAGGGGGCTGTGTGAACACAATTTTTTGGCAACTTCTTGGCCCTTCACTGGTTCAAAAGGGCAAATGCGTTTTTATGTACGATACAATGTGACTCTAAAATAATTAACTAGTTTTTTCTTATCTCTCCCTTTTGACAGAAAACGCATCTAATCATGGTTTAATTAGTCCTGTGAATTTTTTAGAATGACCATCAATTACTCAGAATCTTTGTTGCTTTTTTTATAGAAGCACTATGACCAACATCCTAAAAGACACAAAAACCTGTTTGAATCAGACTGAGCCTGAAACATGCTCTCTGCAGCTCAAGGTTTGAAACTAATCCTGAAGAAGTGTGGATACTGCAAAACCTGTCCATAAGGTGGTAACGTATTATGCTTAACGACGTAGGTATCGGATGAATACCCAGAAAACAAAATGAAATTTCTACAGAAACATAGATAATGTTGAGATATATCTAAACAGTTTTTTGTGAAAACCTGGTTTTGATGCTAATATAGATAAATTACCTTCTTCTGACAGGTGTGGAAAAATGCAGAAATAACAAAGACAGCAAAACCTGGTAAAAAGCTTGGAAACTTGGTAATTCACAGGGACATACCGTTCATTATTTTGAGTTTGCTGTGGCTTTAGTCCATAGCAGATGGAGGAAAAATCAGAAGTGCCAAGCAGCCACCTATTTTGTATACTTGACCCGACTCCCCTCCTTTCTTCTATTAAGTGTCTGCTGGGTCGTCAAAGCGTCCAGTTACACCAGAAGGCAGCAGGAGACAAAATGTCCCAGTATTTGTGTTTCACGTCACCTGAAAAGTTCTCCTGATTCTCACTTTTAAAAGGTCCAGTACCTAATCTTGTGTTTATACAGAGCCAGAGAAAGGGAGCCAATTTTGATAGCACTAGTGACCCTCGCCGCCTTCACAGGCAGGACGCGAGGGACGGCCAGATAGGCTCGGCTATCTGTACCGGTAGATAAAGCACGATAGCCTCTGTCATCTTCTCTTTGTCAAGCAACCCGTGAGACGCGTTACGTATCTGCTACCCCCTCCACGCCGTGAGCGGGGGACACGTGGGAGAACGCTTTGAAACGGCTACGCACAGGGCTAAGGAAAGATTTCGCTGGGGAAAGCTCCGAGAGGGGACCGGCGGCCCGCGGCCCTTCTCCCGCCGGCCAGGCAGGAAGCTCGCCGGCGCGAAACGGCAGCTAAGGGCAACGCCTCCCCGCCGAGCCCGGCC